TTGTGTCTGCATCTCAGCCGTGGTTGCCTGTAGACAACACCAGTGCCTTCTGTGGAGTAGAATTGCAAGGGCATCTTTAAAGCCGGCATCCTCGCCTCTCCAGGTACATCCTTTTGGTTCCCTCTTCAGTTAGCCCTGGCAAATGCAGCGCCTACTCCAGAGTTGCTGTGATTGTCCGTGAGCTGTGTTATCCATAAAGTATAACATGAGGCTTCCTTTGGATCAAGCAGCCTTTTTCTTGTGGAATAGCTGCTGTCCCAACTTGTTTGAATAATTGCATAAGCACTTGAGAAGGCAGTTCTAAAATCTCTTGAGTATCAAGTGGTTTGACATATTAACACCACTTTTTTTTTAACCGAAAAAAAGAACAGTGGATGAGAATATTCAGATAGTAACAGAACATCAAAATGTCTTGGCTGGTTTTGTGAACACTGTTCGACTGAAAATACGTAATATGCTACTCATGTGATATACTATTGATGTGATAGGACTGATGTGGTCACCTGATCCTTAAGCCCCGGGATGCCAGGAATGACCATGGTGTAGGCATTCAGTTCTTTGGCTTTCCAAAGGCAGAAGCCCAAACCAAACAGGAGATTTGGGCTGAAAACCAAGGCGGAAGCTAACTTTTGTGCATCTGTGGTAGAGAAGAGGTCTGAGGACTGGGCCTGGGCTGTCAGCTGTTCATGGTCAGGAAGAGGAAGTTCCGGCAAAGGAGTCTGATAGGGGTCAGTCGTGATGGGGGGGAGCCAGAGGAATGTTGCATTTGGGAGGGGTAGACGAGGTGTTTCTAGGAGGTGGGAGGGAGTGAGAGGAAGAGAGTGGGAACAGATCCCTGGTTTGGCCATGTGAAAATTGCCTAGGAGTACCACCATGCCTGGCTAATTTTTATAATTTTAGTAGAGACAGGGTTTTGCCATATTGGTCAGGCTGGTCTCGAACTCCTGACTTGTACTCCTCTCCAGAGGAGTCCTTTTTCATTTTCTGGTCTTGAGATAGGTCTCACTCTATTGCCCAGGCTGTAGTACAGTGGTGTGATCACAGCTCACTACAGCCTCGACCTCTTAGGTTTGGATGATCTTCCTACCTCAGCCTCCCTGGGTAGCCGGGACCACAGATGCATACCACCACACCCAGATAATTTTTGCTTTTTTTTTCTTTTGTAGAGTTAGGGTTTTGCCATGTTGCCCAGGCTAGTCTTGAACTCCTGGGCTCAAACGATCCTCCCACTTTGGCCTCCCCAAAGTGCGGGGATCACAGGCATGAGCCACTGCACCCAGCCGAGCCCCTCTTCTTGAAAGTAGATTCTGGAAGCAGCTGCCAAGTTCTCTGCCACATACCAGGTTTCTAGGGGTGTAGCTCCCCTGTGTTTGCAGTGCAGCTCTCAAAGTAGACTGCATGTGGCCAGAGTGAGGTGCTCACCCTGGGGGAACTCCTCTGGCTGTCGCTCTCCTGCTGCTCACTCATGGGTATGCCCTCTCCTTATGAAGATCAGGTCCTTCCTCACATGTGTACCCAGCCCCACATGTGGCCATCACCCAGGGTCACCTGCTACGTGGGAGAATCCTTCTCAGCTTTCTGTGTGTCTTTTTGTGCAGGGAAGATAGGGGTCCTGGCCATGACAGAGCCCTGAGCGGCTCCTTCAGCCCCTGTCAGTGGTCACAGTGATGTCTGGTGATGCAGGTGGCCATGTACCATATTCTCTGCTGTGCAGGAGTCACCCAAGACCCAGCCTATGGCAGCACGCGGGCATGGCCTGTCTCTCTGGTCTCTGTTGCAGGCTGTTTCCACCACCAAATTCATATGTTGAACCAGGCAAGACATTTTGATGCTCTGTTACTATCTGAATTCTACATGTGGGGCCCACCCATGGGACCTCATTTTACCTTAACTGCCTCTTTAAATACAGGCACATAGGCCGGGTGCGGTGGCTCACGCCTGTAATCCCAACACTTTGGGAGGCCGAGGCAGGTGGATCACCTGAGGTCAGGAGTTCAAGACCAGACCGGTCAACATGGTGAAACCCTGTCTCTACTAAAAATACAAAAAATTAGTCAGGCATGGTGGCAGGCACCGTAATCCCAGCTACTTGGGAGGTTGAGGCAGGAGAATCACGTGAACCCGGAAGGTTGCCGTGAGCTGAGATCATGCCACTGCACTCCAGTCTGCGTGGCAAAAGTAGAAATGCTGTCTCAAAAAAAAAAAAAAGAAAAAAATACAGGCGCATTGCAAGGTATGAGAGCCTCACCCCCTAGGAGAGACGGGCAGCCTGGCTGGCCCCCACTGGCCCTGCTACCAGCCAGCCCTGCAGGTGAACCTCAGAATGTGACTGTTTAAGGAGGTAATAGGCTGGGTGCAGTGGCCCACGCCTGTAATCCCAGCACTTTGGGAGGCCGAGGTGGGCGGATCACTTGAGGTCAGGAGTTTGAGACCAGCCTGACCAACATGGCAAAACCCCGACTCTACTAAAAATACAAAAATTACCCAGGCATGGTGGCAGACGCCTGTAATCACAGCTACTGGGGAGGCTGAGACAGGAGAATCGCTTGAACCTGGGAAGCGGACGTTGCAATGAGCTGAGATGGTGCCATTGCACTCCAGATGGCATCACTCCTGGGCGACTAGAGTGAAATTCCATCTGAAAAAAAAAAAAAAAAAGAGGTAATGAAGGTAAAATGAGGCCATATGAGTGGGCCCTAATCCAATATGTCTAGGTTCCTATAAAAAGAGATCAGGACACAGACACGCACAGAGGGAGACCGAGTGAGGACACAGGAAGGAGAGGGCAGCCATCTACAAGCCAGGAGAGGGGCCTCAGAAGGGTCCGCTCTGCTGGTGTCTTGGTCGTGGACTTCTGGCCTCCAGAGCTGGGACATACATCTCTGTTGTTGAAGCCACACGCTTCGTTACAACAGCCCAGGCAACCCAATCCATTGTCCTCCACTCCTCTGCCGACTCCTCTTCCTCCACCCTGAGTGACGTGGCCGTGTTCTGTCTGCAGGGCTGCATGGTGGCAGCTGCAACGGGGGCACGTCAGGCCCCCCATCTCCCTGGTGTTTGAGGCTGTGCGACCACCCAGCTCTGTGCCATTCTCTCTCTCTCCTTCCTTCTCCAGGCTGCCCTGCCCTGCCCTGTCGGATAGTTGAACACCTGTGGGACCTACTTGCTCTCCACTTCCAGGGTGCGAATTCAGACAGACAGCTGTGGATGACTCAGCGAGGAGCTGTTAGATCCAGATGGAGGGAAATCAGATGAATAAGCGGGGATCGTTTCCACTCCCCTGCAGGATGCGCTTTGTCGGGCTGCTTTGTTCCCTCTCTTACAGTCACTGCCACCCAATCTGATGTTATTTACGGGTGTCTCTCTCCACTAGGGACCTCTGTTATCTGCCGTTTCCAGCACCTAGGACAGTGCCTGTCACACAGTGGTGCCCAGTCCCTCTCTGTGAGCCAGCAAATAAATGATTGAAGGTGTGTTCTGAGCCCAGCAAACCTTGCTGTAGAATTGTATTGTCCTGAAAGGGATACCAAAGCTGTTTGTTTTCCAATTGAGAAAAGGGAGGCTGTTGGGGAGATAATGCTGAAGACTTGGGGGCCTCCAGCTAAAATGATTTAAACGGAACTTTGCCCTGGGAATCACTTGCAAAACAGAAACCCCATTTGTGACCAGCCTGGACTTGATTGCTGTCATGATCGCCCGTCAGTGCTGGCGTCACTGACAGCAGCTGTGTATGGAAGGCTCCATGCTGAGAGCTTGCAGTCACCCTCCCAGAAAACCATCTCATGATGCTCTGTGATGTTGCTTTTGTCGTTTTGCAGAGGGGATCTATCAGTAAAGACAGGAGTCTTAGAATCGAAGACTAGCAGGGAAGCTGGGGGTCCTTCCTGCCGTGTGGCCCTGCAGCAGGCGTGGGGTGGGGCGCTGGTGGCCAGCACCCCTGCCAGCACCTACTGCTATCAAAAGGGAAATTGAAGGAGGTGCGGGCCTGGCTGGAGCTCAGTCTCAGTAATTGAATCTAGACGAAATGTGACAGTTCTTGTCCGCGCTCCTCCAGATTGCTTCCTGCCCATTCTTGGTAATAAAGTCGTCGCCTGCTCTGTGAATATCTAATCTAACTTCCTATTGTGGTGTCAGAATGTTAGAGAAACAGGAATTGGAGCCTCAGGTGTGTGGGGAGGCAGAGGCAGCTTCTAAGACCGTTTCTATTATTGCTATTATCTCTATCAGTCCTCTCCCTTCCGGGACCCACTGGGACAGTCTCCTTCTCACCTGCTGACCCCCACTCTAGGTCTTCCCGGGTAACCCCCTTGCCTCTCAACTGCATCTCGAATTACGTTTTTCCCATTTTGTATGCATGGAATGTTCCCGAGTATAACACCCACAGTTTTATCCTTAACTCTTCTTCCCTTTCCAATCTGGAGTCATTCTCTAAGAAAGATGAGTGACCTGAAAGCTCAGAGTTCCATGGCTCAACATCTCAAGATGCCTCCATGGCCACATGGTAACTGGCCCTGCTTCGGGGACCTCCTTGCAGCCAGGGTCCTGGTGGTTCCGCCAGCTAGATCCTTCCCTTCCCCCTGCCTCCCTCCCCCGCTTCTTCCCTCCCTCCATCCTTCCCCCCCTCCCTCCCTTCCTTCCTTCTTCCCTTTCTCCCTCCCTTCCTTCTTTCCTTCCTTCCTTCCTTCCTTCTTTCTTGACAAGGTCTCACTCTATTGCCTAGGCTGGAGTGTAGTGGCACAATTTCGGCTCACTGCAACCTCTGCCTTGTGGATTCAACTGATTCTCCTGCCACAGGTGCGCACCAGCACACCCAGCTAATTTTCGTTTTTTTTTTTAGTAGAGATGGGGTTTTACCATATTGGTCAGGCTGGTCTTGAACTTCTGGCTTCAGGTGATCCACCCATCTCAGCCTCCCAAAGTGCTGGGATTACAGGTGTGAGCCACCACACCTGGCCCTCCCAGCATTTTCCGACCCTCTCCTCTTGTCTTTCTCATTGCAGAAAAACTGGCAGGATGCAAGCTGAATGTGGCTGAGGTGACACAGTCAGAAATAGGGCAGAAACAGAAGCTGCAGACGGTGCTGGAAACAGTACATGACCTGCTGCGACCCCGTGGCTGGGCGCTCCGGTGGAGTGTGGACTGTGAGTTCCATGCCACGGGGCGGGGGTGGGGTGGGGGGTGGGAGCGTCTGCAGGGAGCCTGTCCTTTCGACATTCGTCATCCACATTTGTCATCATCATCCCATCTGGCCTTGCATCTTAAAACTGGGTTCATCTCCCTGCTCTGTGAGAGGTAGCATTGCAGGGGAGGGAACGGGAGTAGGGTTAGGGAGCTCCGAGGAAAGGGACCTGGTCAGGCCGAAACTCTCCACCCTCCCCAGGCTGCAGAGGAGAGAGGCATTGTTTCTGGCTAGGTGGATCAGAGGGACTTTGAGAGAGGGAAGCAGCCTTGAGGGGTTCTTGATGGGACTCAACTCCAAATACCACTGGCAGCGTCACCCAGTGGGCTGTTTGCCTGTGACCCTCTGGAATGTGTCCCAGAGTGGGCTGGCATTAGGAGGGGTGACATCACGGTATTCCCCAGAGAAGACATGAACCTGGAAGGTGAAAGACTAAGCCAGAAGAAGGTGGAAAGTTCTCCTCTGTCTTGCCCACTCCTTCCCCACCTCCTTCCCCTTGAAGCAGGGCCCTCAGGGTGTGGCTTCAGGACTCTCTGTGCTGGGCCAGAGGTCTCTGTGCTTCAGTGAGATGGGCCCTCAGCAGTGGGCAGGAGGCCCTGGAGCCTGGCGCTGCACCTGGTTTCTCGGCATCGAGACTTTGGGCAGACCCAGGCTGCCTCGTGGGTTGCTGGGCCTGTGGGTGGGGAATCGGGTGCCTTGTAAGCTCTGAAGCCCTCACAGGAGAAGTGGTGATGATGAGCAAACCTGAGTCCGCGTGCTGAGGAAGAGGGAGGAGGGACTCAGGCATGGCTGATGTCTAATGTCCCCAGAGCCATGTCTGCCCTTGGCAGCCTACCCTAGTTGGGAGCGTTCATCGCTTAGAGTGAGCCCTTTTGTAGCACCAGAGAAAGTAACATGCATCCTTGTGAAGGGGTACATGGCCGTGACCTGCTTCCCATGATCTTTTCCCTTTTGTGCTAATTTTACTACGCTGTTCCTTCCTTCTCCTCATCCCTGCCCAATTTACGGCTTTTAAGAACAAAATTGTGCTTCTAAAAGTGGTTGCACAGGTCGCCTCAGGCCAAGAGGAAAGGAGGCATTGAAACTAGAAATGGATTCACCCAGGTTACACATCAGCCATCTTCATTCGTCCATGTTTCGGTCCGTCCTTGCCTCGCTGGGGTCTCATTTAGATGCTGCGTGTCTCTGTTGGCTTCTGTATGTGGGTTCAGGTTCCTGTCTGACCCAATCTAAAGCATCCCCCTTCCTCCTCCCTCCCACAGCGATTCACGGGAAGAACCTGGTGGCCATCCTCCACCTGCTAGTTTCCCTGGCCATGCACTTCAGGGCCCCCATCCGCCTTCCTGAGCATGTGACCGTGCAGGTGGTGGTGGTTCGGGTGAGTATAACCGAGTGATCAGCCTGTCTGTAATACCGCCGGAGAGGCAAGGTCTTCTTCCTCCTGTGGCTTTCCTGCCCTCCCCGCTGTTTCCCCCTCCCCGCAAGAGGCTACCTTCTGTTTTTCCCTTTTGACAACATGTGCATCTCACCCTGGCTCCGAGATAAATGATTAGAATGGGAACAATGGCATTGATTTGATGAGAGGCAGAGGCATGAGGGTGTTGAGGTTTAATTTTCCACAGTTTTGAAAAGAACATTCATTTCTCTCCAAAGGCAACTGGTTGGAATTCAATCCCCTTGAATGTGCTTATTACTCATTGGAGGAGGTTGGCCCTGCGGGATGAAACAGACACCCAGATTAAAGCTGCTTTGCATTTGCTGGGGATTGTTCATCATGCCCCATTATCTCTTTTTTTGGGTTCATTTCTCTTGATTCGTTTGGAGAAATGGAACCAGGACCCAGGTCCTTCTAACAGAGGGTGAGGTAGAGTCACCTTTCTCTTGCTGTTTCTTTTATGTTTAGGTTTTTATTTATTTATTTTTTATTTATTTATTTTTGGGACAGAGCCTTGCTCTGTAGCCCAGGCTGGAGTGCAGTGGCACAGTCTCGGCTCACTGCAACCTCCGCCTCCTAGGTTCGACGGATTCTCCTGCCTCAGCCTCCTGAGTAGCTGAGATTACAGGCATCCACCATCATGCCCAGCTAATTTTTGTATTTTCAGTAGAGATGGGGTTTCACCATGTTGGTCAGGCTGGTTTTGAACTTCTAAACTCGTGATTCGCCCGCCTCAGCCTCCCAAAGTACTGGGGTTACAGGTGTGAGCTACCGTGCCCGGCTATTTTTTATATTTTATTTTTTGAGACAGGGTTCCACTGTGTCACCCAGGATGGAGTACCATGGTGCAGTCACAGGTGACTGCAGCCTCAACCTCTTGGGCTCAAGCGATCCTCCCACCTCAGCCTCCCAAGTAGCTAGAACTACAGACACAGGCCACCACACCGGGCTAATTTTAAATTATTGTAGAGATAGGGTCTTGCTATGTTGCCCAGGCTGGCCTCAAACTCCTGGGCTCAAGCAATCCTCCCATCTCGGCCTCCCAAAGTGCTGTTATGATGGGCAGGAGCTGCCGTGCCTGGACTTGTTTCCCGCACACTTAAGTGGACAGTCGCTGCATAGGGTTCATGTGCGCAGTTTCCCTAGTAAATGTGCACTGCGCGTCTGCCATCCTCCAAGCACTCAGCATAGGCTGCCGAGGCAGGAAAGGAGAAACACGCTTGGGGTCTGCGGGGACGTCCACTGCTGCCAGAGTTGAGGTCACGCTGGAAACTTGGACGCCTCCGTGTTTATTTGACTCGAGACATCTGGCTCCACTTTCCTCTGGCTTTTAAACTTCTCAGTCCCGTGGTCTCTGTGGTCCGGGAGGACCTGGCTGTGGCCGTGTTTTCCGAACCCATTCTGACCGCTCTGTCACCCTGGGAGCTTGGTCTTGACCCGACGGGAATGCCCGTCTCTGGCATCAGGCGAGGGCCACCTCATGTTGCTGTAATTTTCCTTCCTAAGGTGGATGTTTGTGGTTGGTGGTGGTGACTCAGGACCTCGGGGTCCGTTCCTATTCCCCTTATCTTGGCCACGGGTTCACAGGCAGCCGTCCTGGAAAGGCTTCCCTAGGGTACACGGGGATGTGGTTCCCAACCTTACCTACATCAGCCCGGGGCCCCAGGAGCCCTGTGCAGCCTCCAAAACCCCAGTATTTCCTTTCAGCCTTGCACTTGGGGCCAAGATAATCATTGGGGTTTGCAGCAAGTTTGAACCAGGAAAGCACTTGTGGTGCTTCCTGCCGTAACTAGGGTTAGAGAAGTGTTGTTTGGACCATCACAGTGGAATAAAACGAGAAGCCAGGGGTCCTGTGAACTGGGCCATGACTCCCCAGACCCTAAAGCTGCCTTCTGTCTTCCCTGCAGCCTCCTCTGAGCTTCCTCAGGGGACCCCTTATCAACTCAAGACAGGGTGATGCAAGGGATGTTGCATTTCCTGGGCGGGAAGGAAGGAAGGGAAGGGCCTTATTTGCTGCCTGGCCACATGGCTTTGGGCTGATCACCTGCTGTTGGAAATAGATGTTGGAAATAGATGCTCAGTGCCACAAAGAAAAATGAGCACCGAGACACAGGATCAGCACGCAGTTTTTACTTTCTGGACTGCAGGAAGGGCACTCTCGGGTTTTAGTTTAGATTGTGAGGCCTGGCTCCAGCCGAGAGAGATTAGACACAGCAGTGAGCACAACCCCAAATGTGTAAGGAATACATTTGTCTGTTTTCCTTTGCTCATTGTACTGCCGTGGCAAGATGGCTGGTGCCACCAAGCATCTATTTCCAACACTTGCCTTTGATGAGCTCCAGTGCTTTCCCCCATAAAATCAAGATTTTACTATAAACCTTTAAAACATCCAGCTTTATGTCTCCAGTCCCTAGACGTGGGCCCAGCACCTGGTGGGTGGGTGCCTCATGCATGCCTGGTCTGTGACTAAGTGGATACAGTCTCTCTGGACCATCCTCGGCAGACCCTCCTGAGAATCAGAGTTGTTCCGTAACCAGCACCTTCCCTGAGTGTTCGCTGGAGGCCAAGCTCTGGAAAGGGATGGAAGCCCAGATCTTGGTGGTGTCCATGGTGGGCTGGCCCAGTGGAAAGTGAGTTCCCGGTCCCTTGAGGGGTTCAGCGGTGCTTGGATCAGCTACCCAGCTCTACCTGGAGCTCCCGTGAGAGGTGGGCTGCCGCCCCCACTGTCACCACTGCCATGCCCCCACTTGCCAGCATCATTGCTTTTTTATACCTGTCATGCTCTGGGAGAAGTGTGACCTGTACTCTGTCAGTTTCCTAGGGCAGTGGTAACAAAGTGCCACAAAGCTGGTGGCTTAAAACAGCAGGCATTTATTCTCCTGCAATTATGGAGGCCAAAAGTTTGAAATCAAGACATCGTCAGAGCAGTATGTCCTTCCTCACGCCTCCTCCTCTAGGAGAGGGGTCTTCCTGCCTCCTCCAGCTCCTGATGGTGCCCATCGTTCCTTGGTGTTCTTGGCTTGCGGCCGCAGCTCTCCAGACTCTGCGTCCGTCATCACATGGCCTCCTCCCTCTGTCTGTTTCTGTGTCTATTTCTCCTTCTAATAAGGATGTGAGTCATACTGGATTAAGGTGGGGCTCACCATAATCATTGCAGCCTCATCTGAGCTGGTATCTGCAAAAACCCTTATTTCCAAATGAGGTCAAGTGCTGAGGTCCATGGTGTGTATGAACTTTGGGGGACCCTTTTCAGTCCCGTGCATACATGGTCGCAGGGGGTGTTCTCTGTTACTTATGTTCCTTCCAATTGTGAGCCTCATCTCTCCTGGCTGCAAAGTGTAGAGGATCCCTTTGGGGAATCCTGACCTGGGGTGTTTCTCCTGAGACCTACCCAAATGCCAGCTCTCAGGGCCATGGGGAGACCAGAGGGTGGGGAGGAGGATGGGGACAGGTTGTGGCCACTGAAAGGCACCCTGCCCAGGGTCCCCTGCTGTGCCCCGACCAAGGCCCGGCATGCATGTTCAGCAGCACCCCTCCTCCGTGGCTCTCTTCTCAGAGGGTCTCCGGCCCCGCAGCTTCACCCGCCCCGTCGGTGCATCCTTTCTCATCCCTCCACTGCCTGATTTTGTGTTTGTTTATGCCGGGGTTTTCAGAAGCGGGAAGGCCTGCTGCATTCCAGCCACATCTCTGAGGAGCTGACCACAACCACAGAGTAAGTGGACGCCTGCCCTGCCCTTCCAGGCCATGCTGCTCTGAGCGAGCTGGACCCCGGGCTGCCACTTCAGCCAGGGATGCCAGCGCACGTGGGGCTGCTCCTGGTCCACGCCCCTTCACTTTAGCATGTGATTCTCATGCTGCTTCCTATCCCAGCTCTCCCTCTGCACACTTCCTTCAGAGCTTTGAACATTAGAGCGGAGTTACCTTCCACAGCCTTTGAATTTTTCATTCCTTATCTTAAAAGGTGAGCTTTAAAAATGTTCAAGCTGGGGCAGGCGGAATGAGAGTTCAGGACGGTTAGAGAGACCCATTGTCTCCGTTCGTTTATTTGTCTACATTAGCCCTGTCAGAGGTGGGAGCTGCATGTTTAAACCAGAACTTTCCTTTGACAGACACGGCTAAGCCATCTCTTATCTCTGAGAGAAAGCCAGGGGGCAGGTGTTCAGAAGTCCAAAAGGCTTCGAATCTATTGAAAATAGCAAATCAAACAATAAATATCTGTGGTGTGTGGTTTTAAGGACCCCTTGTGATAACCTGTTAAGGGTCTTTAGAATTCACCGCATTTGTGCCTCTTGACTAAACCTGTTTCAGATGAAACAGAACATTTAAAAATTGATTGTCTCAGCTAATCCATCAGCTAAGTTCACAGAGTGATTAATTACTGTGTTGTGAATTCATGGATGGTATTTCAAAAATTGGAGCTGACACAGGAAACCACTCGTGGCTTGCAAGCTGTCAGGGAAGATGATGGGATGGTGGAGTGCAGGCTGACGCATGTGCGGAGGCCGGTGAAGAGGCCTCGCAGTCTGCCCCAGGCCCGGGAAGGGAACAGGGAGAGCTGGAGGAGGGGAGGAGGAGACTGTGGTTCTGTGCCCGGCACAGTGGGCCTTTGGCAGCAGCTCTGCCTGTTCAGCAATAGGAGAAGGGCTGCTTGTGAGGAACTGGGATTGGGCTGGTGTCTTACTGTTTATTGTTGTGTAACAAATCACCCCCAAAGCTGAGTGACTTAAAACAACATCTGTTTCATTTGCTGCTCACAATTCTGTGGATCAGCAATCTGGGCTGGGCTCAGCTGGGCGGCTCTTCAGCCAGTCTCACCTGGGGTTGCTCATGTGATGCAGACACCTGAAGGCTGGATGGAGGCTGGGGAGGCTTCTCGGCCTCTCCCTACCTCTGGCGGTTGGTGTTCGCCTCCCCCGGGTCTCTTTCCTCCTCACGGAGCTGGACACCTTCCCAGAGTGCCCTCAGGGTCCTTTGAGAGTGAGAGCGCAGCTGCAGGCCGCTTGAGGCCTTGTCTCAGACATCCATACCCATGTCCTCAATTCTGTGAGTCAAAGTGAGTCACAGGTCATGCTGGATCAAGGTGCGGGAAACAGACTCTGCCTCCTTGTGCAGGAATGGCCTAGGCACATTGCTGGAGGTGGACATGCTGTGATAAGAGTCCCCTTCCAGGTGAGGGCAGCAAGGAGGAGCTGGGGCCCCCACAGTTGTCCTAAGTAAAACCAGAATGGTCCAGAGACAGAGAATGAGCAAGTGGATGGGAGAATAGCCTCAGCTGTTCGCCAGCGGTAACCGGCCCCCAGGACCTGCTGCATGCCAGGCTCCCTGCTGGGTCCACAGAGACATGGAGAGGTGGGCTGAGCACAGTCCCTCTCCTCCGGGGCAGCCCGTCCTGCTGGTGAGAAAGGACGCATCCAAAGACATGTACAGTCCAGCACAGGGGGCTTGTGGGAAGTGCCTCAGGGCCCTAAGGGGATTTCCAGGAGGAGGGGAGTGCCCCAAAGTCAGGGCAGGGGAAATTCCAGTGGAAGCCACCTCAACCAGATGCCAGGTAGCCCTGAGCAGCGAGAAGGGGAGCTGGGGTTTTCTAGCTGGAGGCAGCGTCCCTCTGCAAGCCAGGGCAGGGGTAGGGGAGAGGCTGGTATCTCCTCTCCAGGCTGATGCCCCAGGTGGGTCCTCCTCAGGGCTCGTCATGCCATCCTGGTCACCTGTTCCTCTCCCCCCCGCTCCCGTGGCCGCAGAGAGTCTGACGGAGCATCTGAATCATGAGATGTCTGCTGAAAACCAGCGGCCCAAAGATCCATGTTCAGTTTCCTAAGGCGGCATCACCACCTCCCATCCAGTCTCAGTGTTCTCCTTTCTCTTTCTAGAGGCAGCTACGAGGTCACCCCCTCCAGGAAGTCCTCCTAGCTGCCAAGCAGGAGTGCTTGGCTTCCTGTTAGTTCCTGTAGCCTCTGGACACACGTGGCCAACACTGACATATTGGCTTAGGAGGTCTCTCACCCCCGGCCATCCCGAGGGCAGGGCCACACAGTCTTTATCTCCAGGGGATATTAATTTCTGTTATCTGCACAGCCTGCACATAGCAGGTGCTCAAGTAAGTGCTTGTTAAATGAGATGGAGCCGAAAGGACTTGAGTCTAGAGGGATTTGGGGACAAAGTAAGGACTTCCTTGCCTCTCAGGAAGGCAGTGCGTGGAACGGCTCTGGGCACTCATGCGCTGGGAATCTTTGAGAAGATTCTCACCACCCCCATCTCCCTCACTGCTTTTACTGCCCACTGCCTGAGGTCAGGGCCCAGCCTCATGCTTCCCCAGAATCCTTTAATTCCATGAGTCCTGCGAGTACATTGTGTTTATCCTGGAAACATAATACTTGGGTGACCAGCAACCTTGTGTGTTTATTTATTCATTTTTTTGAGAGAGTCTCGCTCTGTTGCACAGGCTGGAGTGCAGCGGTGCGATCCCAGCTCACTGCAGCGTCGACCTCCCAGGCTCAAGCGATCCTCCCACCTCAGCTCCCGAGTCGCTGGGAGCACAGCCCACGCCAATACCCCCAGCTAATTTCTTTGTGCTTTTCTTAGAGGGGGTTTCGCCACAATGGCCAGGCTGGTCTCCGGCCTTGGGTTTTTGTCTGTCTGTTTTTGAGACAGAGTTTTACTCTCATTGCCCAGGCTGGAGTGCAATGGCAGTCTCGGCTCACTGCGACCTCCACCTCTTGGGTTCAGGTGATTCTCCTGCCTCAGCCTCCCATGTAGCTGGGATTCCAGGCACCTGACACCACACCTGGCTGATTTTTGCATTTTTAATAGAGATGGGGTTTCGCCATTTTGGCCAGGCTGATCTCGAGCTCCTGACCTCAAATGATCCATCTGTCTCTGCCTCCCAAATGCTGGGATTACAGGCGTGATCCACCGTGCCTGGCCCAGCCTGTGTTTTGAGCCTTCCATGGCTGCCGGAAGCCCTGTCATCTGCTGAAATCTTCAGGTTAACTAACCACTGTCTTGATTTAAGTGCCTCCCCTCCAAAAGGCATTCACGGCATGGTTAATGCGCAAATAGAGGTGGTGATTTGCTGCTGATCTTGTGCAAACGTGAATAATCCACACGAGCACCTCTTGTTTATAATTAGAGTGGGCTGGAACGTGGCACAGTGTGACCTGCTTTATCAGTCGGCCTTCACGTGGGCAGCAAGGGGCCTGGCTTTCTGGGTGGCCTGTCCCTCACCCTCCACGTGCTGCTTGTGAAACTGCATTTGGAGTGACCTATCTGACGCCTTTCTCTGTGCTCTTGTTTGCAGGATGATGATGGGCCGGTTCGGTAAGTAACCCCGGGGAAAGTGGGGAGACGGAGGTGTGTTAGGGCTGCCCCAGGAAGCTCCCCGAGAGTGTACATGGTCATCTGGGGGGAGTGGGAAGCTGGGTGGGTCTCACTGCCCCTGTAGTTCTGTAATCCTAGAGAAAGTACGCTGTCCGCCCCCACCTTTCGGTATAATGGGCTTGTTTCTCAGAGCTGAGAGGGGCTGGGTAGTGCTAGGTAGAGTCGGGTGGGGCCAGGCACAGTGACTCACACCTGTAATCCCAGCACTTTGAGGGGCCGAGGTAGTTGGATCACCTGAGGACAGTAGTTCAAGACCAGCCTGACCAACTTGGTGAAACCCCATATCTACTAAAAAATACAAAAATTAGCCAGGTGTGGTGGCAGGCGCCTGTAATCTCAGCTACTTGGGAGGCTGCGGCAGAATTGCGTGAACCCAGGAGGCGGAGGTTGTAGTGAGCTGAGACCGTGCCATTGTGCTCCAGTCTGGGCGACAGAGCGAGACTCTGTCTTAAAAAAAAAAAAAAAAAACACAAAAAAAAAAAAAAAAAAAAAAAAAAAAAAAAAAAAAAAAAAAAAAAAAAAAAAAGGGTGGGGTGGAAGGCTGGGTGGCTAGCCAGGGGAGTGAGAGGGGGGGCCTGGGACATCACTGGCTGGAACTGTCCAGGGCTGGGGCAGGAGCAGTCAAGGGTAAAGGGGAGGGAGGAGAGGCAGCTGGTATATGGCGCATCGTTAACTGGCTGGGAGAGAACGGTTCACCTCTGTGATGTCCTTCCACATGCATTACTTCCTCTTGGAAACTGCCTGGTTAGCAGACTTCCTCAGAGTCAGGCAGCCAGGGCCCAGTCCTGGCTGGTGGCCTGTGGCCTGCCCTTTCCTCTCTCTGCTCCTCATCTGTGAAATGGGAGCGTAAAAGGCTCTCCCTGAGCAGGGCTGCTGTGAGGATTGGGTGAGATCACAGGTGAGTGTCCTGCGTGGCCTGGGCGGGGGCGGGCAGCCCTCTGTGTGTGGTGGTTTTAGTGTTGGTTTTCAGTGGCTGTTCCCAATTGCTCTCTCTTCCCCCCAACTGAAGCCTGAGACCCCATCTTCATCTCAGCAAGGGATGGCAACATTTCAACCCTCAGAGCCAGCATACCCCAGCCCTCGGCCTGGCCAGGCTCCCTGCTTTGGGGAGCATTTCAAAAGAGAAACCCCTTGACCCCCAAATACCATGTTCTCCAGTGAGCAGGGAGGGGAGAACAGTTCTTAAGAGGAAAAATGGAATCCAAATAGAAATTTCCCATCTGCCTCTCCAGCCTGCCAGCCCGGAGCTGATGCCTGTCCCTTTGGGGGTCCTCCGGCTGGGGGTGCCACCCCCTGAGTACTATACATTGAGGGCTGGGCCAGCTCGGCCGTGGGGCTCTGTAACTTCAAAGTGATTATGGGGACCAGCTAGGATGCCATCGCTGCTTACCTATTGTATTAGGGTTCTCTAGAGGGACAGAAGCGATAGGACAGATATATATATATATTAAGGGGAGTTTATTAAGGACATTAGCATGTACCATCACAAGGTCCCACAATAGGCCGTCTATAAGCTGAGGAGCAAGGAAGCCAGTCCAAACCCCGAAGCTGAGGAACTTAGAGTCTGATGTTCAAGAAGCATCCAGCATGGGAGGAAGATGAAGCCTGGGAGGCGAGGCCCGTCTAGTCTGTTCACACTCTGCGGCCTGCTTTTAATTCTGGCTGTGCTGGCAGCTGACGAGGTGGTGCCCACCCAGATCAAGGCTGGTCTGCCTCTCCCAGCCACTGACTCAAATGTCAGTCTCCTTTGGCAACACCCTCACAGACACACCCAGGGACCACACCTTGGATCCCTCAGTCCAATCCAGTTGACAGTGTTAACCATCACGCCTACGGTGAGGGGAAGGGGCTCAGATCCCACGGGGCTTGAATTGAGAAGATGCAGTGAGGATACGTCCGAGAGGCTTCCTTTGTGAGACCTTCTGCTGTGCTGGGGACATTCACAGGCCTTCGCTTTTTTTTTTTTTTTTTTTTTAAGGAGACTTTCAGCTCTTTTAAAACATCTCTATTATAAAAAAACAAAGGACAAGAAAGAGAAACCTGTGTGTGGTTGCTGAGGGAGGCGAAACCGCAGTGGGGCCACAGCTCATGGGGCCGGAGCGAGGCATCTCCCCACCCTGCGTCTAGGCGTAGGCACACTTTGAGGGCACAGTGCCCCCCTCTGTTACCCTCTCTCCACCCTTTCTTCCAGAGGAGGCTCAGCACCCCTTTGGAATTGTAGAGGCCTAGAGATGAGGAGAGTGGGCGCATCAAGCATTTCCGAGTGTTTTTGGCTTTCTGTGACGCTGTCACTTCTGTGTTTGGTACGGGCCTCGTTGGAGATTTAGGAAAAAGACAGCCTGTACCATTGAGTTGGGGGCACACGGGCCTCGGGCTGTGTGTAGCACCCTGTGACCCGAAGGCCCGGAAGCCTGGCCCCGGAGCCCCTGCCACCCTAGGAATGTGCTTTAGGGTCTGATGTGCAGGGCAGTGGCTCTCCAGGTAAGAGCCAGGTGTCACATGTGGAAAGTGGACCCAGCTGCCTCTCCAGGGGCATCGGGACTGTGGAATCACAAGACCAATTTGCACAAGAGGCCGATGGAGTGTTCTCATTACGCTGTAGGCTTTATGCTCTGTGCTTCAGAAATGCAAACAGCCTATTAGTCGGTGACAGGCAATTAGTTCTGCCCCCGGGCTTGCTGCTTCCGCTGACGCAGGCTCCCAAGTCTCCTGGTTACCCAGCCTGCCACCCTCAGGTGAAGCAGGGCTTCTGGCCCGGCCCCCGCTCCCGTGGGGGCAGCAGCATGCCTTGTCTTGGCTTCCCTGCCACGCCACTTGCCTCCTCCAGACCCCAAGAGCACCCTGGGGCGCCCTCTCTTCCAGCAACCTCCACCTGAATGCTCTCCCTCTTGATTACCCCATGGCTCACTCCTTCAGCTCCGCCAGCTCTTGGTTCAAATGTCACTGATCAGGGAGGCCCTCTCTGACTCCACTGCCCTAAACTGCCTTCCACTGGCAGTCCTCCCCACCCCCCACCACGGCTTAGTTATTTCTGTAGTCATGTGATGAACCAAGCAGCACTCTGCTCTGGGGGATGGCCTGGCTCTTCTTCCCTGCACCAGTGTTTACACAACGAAGCCTGCACGTGCCTGGCAGACACTGGTGCCAGCAAACTTTCAGGAGCACCCAGAACCCCTGCTTTTCTCCCTTCACACACGGCTCCTTGACCCGAGGAGGTGCCCTGTGGGCTGGAGCTGACCCTTCCTCAGGCTGCCCCTTCACCCCACCCCACCAAAGCAGCTAGCCTGGCCAGTCTGCCATGCAGCTGGTGCCAGATGTTCTAGGAGCTTCTAGAAGGCCGGGCAGACCCTCCTTGGCTCATGTGCTGAGCTTTGCCAGAAGCGGTCTTCTGGGCCTCAGTTTCCCCATGAGCACCCTGAGCCAGGGAGGGGTGGGGGCTCTGCTCCATCATTCCAGCAAGAGAGGTGGCTCCACAGATCCTCGCTGCCTCTTGATGGTATCACTGCCCTGGCTGAGGTGGGTGAGGAGGCCTCTCTCCACGGAAACAAGTCTCAGGGGAGCCAAAGAGGTTGCAGCCTGGTCTCCATGGCAACGGGCCAGCTGCTGCGCCTTCTCCGCTGGCCCTTCCCCCTCCTGAGCCTGCCCTGGGCTGGAGGGGAAAGAGGGGAGCATGCCTTCCTCACCCTCTTCCCCCTCATTATAACTCCTAGTCATTCCCCTTCACGTCCCTCCCATTTCTGCCAACAGAGCTTGTTCCGGAAGCGCTAGCTCCACCCCGGCCCCCCGGCTCCTGGCCGTGCCCTCCGTCACTCCCACGCTGCTGGCCACAGCCCTGTTCACAGCTCTCACAGGCCACCCGGCTCTTTTTTTTTTTTTTTTTTTTTTTTTTCTTTTTGAGGAAGAAAGAGAGAAAGAAAAAGAATTAAAAAAAAGAAAAAGAAAAAAAAAAAAGAATAAAGGAAAGGAAGAAAGAGGACGAGGAAGAGGGAGAGAGAACAGGGGTGTTGCTTTATTGCCCGGGCTAGAATGCAGTCTAAAACTGGGTATGCCTGTAATTGTGTTTAATAATAGAGACATGAAAAAAAATGAGGGAAGAAAATAATTAAGCAGCCAACCAATATTTCATTTAAACCTGTAAAAACGTGTGATGTAGTACTGATAAGAGTGTATGTTTTGAGTATTTAAAGTGGAGAGTTCTATGAATGTTAATTAAGTCTACTTGTTCCGGATCTGAGTTCAAATCCTGGATATCGATGTTAACTTTCTGTCTCATTGATCTGTAAGTCTTCCACTATTATTGTGTGGGAGTCCACGTCTCTTTATAAGTCTTATATATCTGGGTATTCCTGTATTGGGTGCGTATATATTTAGGATCTTTAGCTCTTTTTGTTACATTCTTTTATCTTTATGTAATATCCTTCTTTGCTTCTTTTGATCTTTGTTGCTTTGAAGTCTGTTTTATCAGCAAAAATTGCAACTCCTGCTTTCTATTTATTTTTGCTCTCCATTTGGTTGGTAAATTTTTCTCCATCCCTTTGTTTTGAGTCTTTATGTATCCTTGCATGTGAGATGGGTCTGGATGTAGCATACCAATGGGTCTTGGCTTTTTTTTGCCTGTCTGTGTCTTTGGATTGGGGGATTTAGTCGATTTAAATTTAGAATTAATAACAATATATGTGAGTTTGATACTGTCATTTAATGTTAGCTGGCTGTTTTGCCCATTAGTTGATGCAATTTCTTAATTATGTTGATGTTCTTTATTTTTTGGCATTTTTTAGAAAGGCTGATACTGGTTGTTCCTTTCTATGTGTAGTGGTCCTTTCAGAAGCTCTTGTAAAGCAGGCCTGGTGGTGATGAAATCTCTGAGTGCTTGCTTGTTCACAAAAGATTTTATTTTTCCTTCGCTTATGAAGCTTAGTTTGGCTGGATGTAAAATTCTGGGTTGAAAGTTCTTTTCTTTAAGGATGTTGAATATTGGCCCCCACTCTCTTCTGGCTTGTAGGGTTTCTACTGAGAGATCTGCTGTGAGTCTGATGGGCTTCCCTTTATGGGTAACCTGACCTTTCTCTCTGGCTGCCCTCAGTATTTTCTCTTTCATTTCAACCCTGGTGAATCTGGCGATTAACGTGCCTTGAGGTTGGTCTTCTTGAGGAATATCTTTGTGGTGTTCTCTGTATTACCTGGAGTTGAATATTGTCCTGCCTTGCTAGGTTGGGAAAGTTTTCCTGAATAATATCCTGAAGCGTATTTTCCAGCTTGGATTGATTCTCCTTGTCACATTCAGGTAGACCTATCAAGCGTAGATTAGGTCTTTTCACATAGTCCCATATTTCTTGGAGACTTTGCTCGTTCTTTTTTATCCTTTTTTCTCTAATCTTGTCTTTTTGTTTTATTTCATGAAGTTGGTCTTCGACCTCTGATATCTTTTCTTCTGCTGGATCGATTTGGCTGTTAAAACTTGTGCATAGTTCGCGAAGTTCTCATGTTGTATTTTTCAGCTCCATTAATTCACTTATATTCCTCTCTAAATTGTGTATTCTTGTTAACATTTCGTCAAACCTTTTTGCAAAGTTCTTAGTTTCTTTGCGTTGGGTTAGAACAAGTTCTTTTAATTCCCAGAAGTTTCTTATCATCCACTTTTTGAAGTCAGCTTCTGCTAATGGAACACAGTCTTTCTCCATCAGGCCTTGTTCTGTTGCTGATGAGGAACTGTGATCCCCTGCAGAGGGAGAGGCATTCTGATTTTGGGTATTCTCAGCCTTTTTAGGCTGGTTTCTTCCCTTCGTTATAAATGTATCCATCTGTGGTCTTTATGATTACCGTCTTTATAATTGGGTTTCTGAATGGACGTCCAACTTGTTGGTTCCCGGCGCTAAAATCTGAGAAACCCACTGCGGCCAGCCAAAACAGCGGCTTTAAGATTGATGGTGCTTTTCTGACTCTGCACTGAGAACCGCTGCTCCAAGGCAGTGGCAAAACCGCTTCACCGGCCTCAAGAGTCGCGCTGGCGACACGTGGGGCTCCTCCACTGGGAATCTCCTGGTGCATGAGCAACAAAAATTGATCTGAAAGTGTGGCGTCCTCTCGTTCTCTGCTCTTTCAGTGGGAGCTGCAATCCCGAGCTGCTAGTGATCAGCCTTCTTGGATCTCTCTCCTGCCACCCGGCTCTTGAACCTGCTCTGGGCTTTCTGGCATCTCTCCTTGTGCCTGCTGCTCGCTCGGTGGAGCACCTTTCCTCCTCCTCTTGCCCCAGCAAGCCGGGCTTGAACCCCAGGGCTGCCTCATGAAGCCTTATTCAGGTCCACCAGCCCTTGGTTCAGACTCAGGTGCCTCCAGGGACCAGCCTGGTAATATAAAAGGGGAGAGTGGCTAGATTGTGCAGTGATAACGCCAGCTGCCCCTTCACCCCCGCTGGGTGGCAGTGGGGAGTGGTGGGGTCTGGGGCACACTGCAGAGCCCACACCCCCATCCCTGGGGCTGCTCCCTGCTGCCAGGTGCGAGCGCAGGCTCACTGTTGCCAAAGCCTCCAGTTCTTCAAGAGAGGCCAGAAGTTCAGAACTTTTGGACAGACCTTCCCATTTAAGAGCTGTTGAACTCTGGGCGGGCACCGTGGCTCACGCCTGTAATCCCAATGCTTTGGGAGGCTGAGGCGGGTGGATCACTTGAGGTCGGGAGTTCAAGACCAGCCTGACCAACATGGCAAAACCCCGCCTCTACTAAAAATACAAAAATTAGCCTGGCGTGGTGTTGCATGCCTGTAATCCCAGCTACTCAGGAGGCTGAGGCAGGAGAATCGCTTGAACTTGGGAGGCAGAGGTTGCAGGGAACCAAGATTGCACCACTGCGCTCCAGCCTGGGCGACAGAGTGAGACTCTGTCTTAAAAAGCCAAAAAATCAAAACCAAAACAAAACAAAAACAAAAACTGTTGACTCAAATCAGAACATGACGGGGACCAAGCTGAGCGTTCTTGCAGGTTGAACTTGGGCAGACCCGGCCTGGATTCCTCTTTTCTGACGCTAACAGGATTGCACTATCAGAGTTGACTCCCTCTCCAGGCCCTCCCCCGAGTCTGTGCCTCTCCCAAGAGCAGGGCCGCTCCTTGTTTATCTCTGTGGCATCTCCAGAGCCTGCGGAGGCTCTGGGGGATAGGACGAGAGGGAGCTGTAAGGACTGAGGGCCAACATCGCTCCTGCCAGGCACTGCGCTCCTGCCTCTGCTCACTGTCCCGCTTCCTTCCACACCAAGGGCAAGGCAGGGGCCATCAGAACGCCACCTTTACGGAGGAAGAAATGGGGTTGGAGAGGGGAGGATTTGCCCAAAGTCATGGGGTGCGAAGTCAGGCAGCTGGGATCTGCATTTAGTTTTGTTCCCAAGGCCAGGCACATCACAGCAGTACAGTATGTACCGCTTGCTCTCCCTCTCCCTCTGTCTCTCTCTCTCCCTGCTAGTCTGGGACAGTCCCTGAGGAGGCCCCTGGGCCAGCCCTAGAAAGGCAGGAGGAGCTTCCTACCCTCCCCTTCCTGTCAAGCTGGGTTCCGCAGCTCCCCAGGCCTGCTCCTTGTGTTGGGATCCCAGCCTGGCTGGTAACCGAGGGTCTCTCTGCTGGGCTGGGCCTTCTGAGCATGCTCTGCCCCCAGGAACCTGGAGGACAGAATTTGGCGGCCCTGGATCCCTTCCAAATGCCCCGGGTCCTGTGGCTGGCCCCCAGCGCCCGTTTTCAGAGCTGGGGGTCCCTCCCTGCTGTGTGGGCTGTGTGACGTGACGCCAGTCCCCCAGGTCCAGGGGCACGGTGGCCTGCAGCGAGGCCTCTGCGGCACTGATGCCTCCCTGGTGGCTTGACTCTGCCAGCCCAGCAGTGGCCCAGCTAAATATACCCTGCTGACGTCAAGCACTCTTCTGCTCCTGGGGTTTTTCTTAAGCTGCATTTATAGTTTGCGTGCTGCTTTGTAAAGATTTCACTTTTTTTTTTTTTTTTTTTGGCCCCTTAGCCGACTGTCTTATTGAGCGTGCTCTGACTTAGATGATTATAAAAATACTTTACAGCTGCTGCATTAGAAGGCTGGCAGGTGTCCAGAGGCTGGGGCATTTTGGTCAGTGTCAGTCTTTAGGTGAAGAAAACTTCCCTCCCCTCCCCCCACACGTGCACATGCACACACATACACACGTGTACACACGTGCTCACATACACTTTCCTTCTCTCCTTTCCACCTTGTTTGTCACCACCTCCACAAGGCCAAGGAAGAGGCTACCTGGGCTGGGCTGGGCAGGGGGCTGTGAGCTGCCTGCTGGGCAGCCGGCCTGGCAGGAAGGGACCAACATGCTTCCTCTGGGAGGAGGCCTGGCCGGTGTCTCTCCCTGGGCCTCTGGCTTACCTGGGCCTAATCCTTTCTTCCTTCTCTTTCTGGGCTTTCTCTGTCTCTCTCACTCTGTCTCTGTTTCTCTCTCTCTCCCCTAGGCCAGGGTGGTCCCTGAGGAGGCTCCTGGGCCAGCCCTAGACACGTGGAAGGAGCTTCCTACCCTCCCCTTCCTGTCAAGCTGGGCTCTGCAGCTCCCCAGGGCTCCCCCTTGGTTGGGGTCCCAGCCTGGCTGGTAACAGAGGGTCTCTCTGTTGGGCTCAGTCCTCTGTGCATGCTCTGTCCCCGGGAACCTGGAAGATGGAAGTTGCTGGGCTCTGGATCCCTTCCAGATGCCCTTGTCTGCCTCTCTTCTGCCCTGGCAGTGACACCCCACAGCTCTGTGTCTGCCTAGAGACCTCAGCCCTCTGCCTGGGGTCCAAGTCTCTGTCCCTTATGCCCCTATGGGAGCTCCCTCCATGGCAGCAGGTGCAAAGGCTCTGAGGCAGGGGCGCCCCAGTGTCAGGAGCAGCTGGGAGGCCGGTCGGTGGGTGAAGTCACGGAGGGTGTGTGTAGGAGGATGACTCTGAGCCCGAGTGTCCCATGGCCCGTGAAAGAGAGGATGGATTTTCTCTGAGTGTCCCATGGCCCATGGGAGAGAGGATGGATTTTATTCTAAGCATGATAAGAAACGGTTGTTGTGGAGGGAGTGGAGAGGGGGAACAAACGATTCTGTTTGCACTTGAAAGGGCTTACTCTGCCTGCTGGGAAGAAGGGATCAGGGGCCGGGAGTGGAGTAGGAGGCTGCAGCTGCTCCCAGGCAAGGAGCAGTGAGGTGTGAGCAGCTTGGCCACGGCCGCGGGGGAAGTGGTTGGATTCACAGGTGCCGTTTGCTGGTAGACAAGGAGCGTGGGAGCAGGGAGAATTCAGGACGCCTCAAGTCCTAGGACGTGGCAGGGGCGGATGCCAGGTGCCATCGATGTGTTTCATGTGAAAAGGTAAAGAGCAGGCGGAAGGGACCCCTTGCAGCCTCTAGTCCACGCTGTTCTGGTTGTGCCGAAGCGCGCTTGCTCACTTTGGTCTGGCCAGGACTGATCGTCGGGGTCAGCTCTTTCATTCTGGCAGGAATTGGAAGGATTCTAGGCAGGTGTGGGAGTTCAGACTGACCCTCCTCAGGGATCAGAAGCTGGCATGTCCCCGGGGGGCCTGGGATTAGGGCAGCACCGCGGGCCTCCGTAACTGCTCCTCTGTGTCTCTCTCCATGTCCTCAGAGCGGGACGCCTTCGACACGCTCTTCGACCACGCCCCGGACAAGCTCAGCGTGGTGAAGAAGGTAAGCTGTTGGTGGGGTGCTGGATGTGTTCTCCTATGGCTCCGGCTTTTTGACAGCACAAATGCCCGCTGGGAAGAAGGTGGGAAAATGTTTGGAATCTCAGAAATGTTTGCCACATGGATTGAAATGTAATTACAGTCAGAAAACGTAACCACAGTGCATAAAATTAGCGCCTTTTAACTCAACATCTCTGCTCCCTGGGTATCCTCCTGCCTGCCCGCTCCACTTCTGTTAAGTGAATTACCCAGCCAGCAGTTCTGACTTGAGGCCTTTTTTCAATGTGGAAATATTTTTAAGCATGTCAGCCTGCTGCTCTCGCTGGCCTCATGACCATCCCCGGCCTGCCCCGTAAACACGCAGGCCTGTACGGCTGAGCCGTGCCATGCATGGACTTGGCCCGTTTCCCTGCAGACAGAGGATGGGCCCTCACCAGCCCAGGCAGCCTGCTGGTCAATCTGTGGATGGAAAAAATGCCAAGTCTCTGGAGGTGGGTGCTGGGAGTGCTCAGCTTTGGGGGACCTGCCAGAAAGGCTTGTTCCCCTCTAAAGGAACAGGGGCCCATTAGCTGCACGTTAACTTACCTGCAGGCATCCCATTCAGGAGGCTGCGGTGGGGTGAATGCACATGCATCCCTTCTTCCCATAACATCGGAGGAGCACTTATTTCTAACCATGGTGCACGTGAAGGAGTTCTCCTTTCTAGGACAGCTTACTCAATCAAACAGCTTTCTTAGTGCAGGACTTGTCAGAGCCTTTAATAGGCTGACCTGTACTGTACTTCTCCAAGAGGGAGCTTGGTAGGAAGCATTTTCCAAAGGTATTTGTTGATAGTGCGATTTATTTATCTATTCATTTTGGGGTGGAAGGTGTTATATTTCTGTGGAACCCACTTTTGGAAAATGTTGGTCTGGGTTTAAACAATGAGATCCTTCATTCTTGGAGGCACTTTGTAAAAGGCTGTTGGAACCGTGCTAACGGCCCTTCTGGGACAAAGCCTTCTGAGCACTCTTGGGTGGCGAGGGATACACTTGGAGCCTCAGAGGCCCCCACCTCCACCCTGTCACATGTGGCCCCCAGAGGCCCTGACAGAACTGGTTCAGGGAATGAATCAAATCCAGCTCCCCTGATTGTGTGACCTCCGGTGAGGGGTGAGATTATACCCCAGCCTCAGTTTCCCCATCTGTCAAGTGGAAACAGGGATGTTACCTACCTCTCGGGGGACCGTGAGGATAAGCTGGGATTCTGTGCATGGGCTTCGCCTGCGGTGCATTGAAAATGGTGTAGCCTAAGGTCCCTTCATCTCTCAGTAGATACGATGTTCATTCATTCTTCGAAAGACACTTTTTGGGCACTGGAGCCACCGGCAGGGAACGAGATGGAATCTTGTTTTGCCTGCTTCAGCCTGCCCTGTCCTCACCTTCACATGCAAGCTTCGGTGTTTGTGGTTCTCTGGGCCCCAGAATGAAATCAGGGGTCCCTTCCCCCATCTGTAGGTTTCTCCCTGGGTCGTCCCCTCCTATTCCCTCCCATCCCACCCACATCAACCACAGCCTGAAGACCCCAAAGTGTTTGCAGATGTCTCTCTGTCTCTCTTTCTCTGTCTCTGTCTCTCCCCACTAGGCTGCAGCAGTCCCTGAGGAGGCCCCTGGGCCAGCCCTAGACACGCGGAAGGAGCTTCCTACCCTCTCCTTCCTGTCAAGCTGGGCTCTGCAGCTCCCCAGGGCTCCTCCTTGGTTAGGGTCCCAGCCTTGCTGGTAACAGAGGGTCTCTCTGTTGGGCTTGGTCCTCTGAGCATGCTCTGTCCCCAGGAACCTGGAGGATGGAAGTTGCCAGGCCCTGGATCCTTTCCAATGCCCTCATCCCCCTCTCTTCTGCCCTGGCAGTGACACTCCACAGCTCTGTGTCTGCCTAGAGACCTCAGCCCTCTGCCTGGGGTCCAAGTCTCTGTCCCATATGCCCCTGGGTACCCACTCAGCTCACTCCCACTTGGCACTGGTGCACCCTCAAGTCCAGCTCCAATGCCCCCTCTCCTAGGTCTTAATGGGGGTCTGCACACCTCTCCTTTGGCTCATGAAATCTCCCCTGCACTGCGTGTTTCCCTGCAGTGCCCTAGCTCCTGATGTCTCTGTCCCACCATTACATGCATGCAGAGAACTACATCACAGGCCCTGTGTCAGGGGCCGGGGATGGAGCTCTCTTTACTGTGTTTCTGTCCTTAACGCCAAGCAGCATGCTTGGCACATAGTAACTGCTCAGTCAATTTGAGCAGAATGGGTAAGAAATCATATGGGCAGTGGTGGGTAGTATTGAGTTTCCAGAAAATTTCAGTTCAGTCGCTGAGGAATTACAGATGACAGGTTTTGAACTGCTGGAGAGAAGCCACTGCCCCTTGGTACCTACATAACAGGGCTCAGAAAATCCCTGCCGCCTGGAGAGAACCCCCTGAGTGGATCTCCCCATGCACTGAAAATCCACAGGCGGGCCGGGCATGGTGACTCACGCCTATAATCCCAGCAATTTGGGAGGCCCAAATAGGTGGATCACCTGAGGTCGGGAGTTAGAAACCAGCCTGACCAACATGGAGAAACCCTGTCTCTACTAAAAATACAAAATTAGCTGGGCATGGTGGTGCATGCCTGTAATCCCAGGTACTATGGAGGTTGAGGCAGGAGAATCCCTTGAACCTGGGAGGCGGAGGTTGCAGTGAGCTGAGATTGCACCATTGCACTCCAGCCTGGGCGGCAGAGCAAAACCCCATCTCAAAAAAAAAAAAAAGAAAAAAACCTCAATAGGCGTGGCCCAAGGCAGCGCCTCCCTGTCAGTCATTCTGAGTGTGCCGTTCATGGTTCCAGGTCACATCTAAGATACATTTGCAAATGTAGCGATCCTCCCCTGGCAGTTTTGTATCTTTCTTAAGAGCACCGAGTGTTCTTCAGTGTGATTGTTAAATACGGCACACGTGTGCGGATAGGCATATGTGTGCATGGGTTGGTGAACAGGGACACGCATAGCCAGGATAGACGCGGGCACGGTGCCATGAAAACTTGGGGCTATTGTCGGGATGTTGCGTTTGAAACACGGGCTCTTTATTTCAGCAAACGGGAGATGATGAAAGCATTTCACGGCGCCAGGGCTGGCAAATGTCAAGCCTGCCCCTCCAGGTGGGGCCTGCACGCGGCCACTCATGGCTTCTGTGTCTCTTTTGTTCTTGGCAGTCTCTCATCACTTTTGTGAACAAGCACCTGAACAAGCTGAACCTGGAGGTGACGGAACTGGAGACCCAGGTATACGCGGTTTTGCCCGCCGCTGTGTTCAGTCGGCGTTTCCATCCCAGGTGGGGCGGTGAACACAGCTGGGGCCATTTTGCTCATCTTGCAAGGAATTCCCGTGGCGTGGGCAGAAATAACCACCGCGGCCTTCTCAGCCCCTCTGTCTTCCTTTCCTGGGGCTGCTGCCGCAAAGCACCACGAGCCAAGTGGCTGAAACAACAGATCTCTGTGTCCTGGGGTGCTGGAGCCTCGGAATCCAAACTCAAGGTGTGGTCTGGGTGGGTTCCCTCTGAGGCCGTGCGGGAGGATCTCTTCCTGGCCTGTCTCCCAGCTTCTGGGGTTTTGCTGGGATCGTCGGCTTCCTCGGCTTGTACACGCATCGGTGTTGTCCTTGTGTGCGAGTCTCTGTGTCCAGATTTTCCCATTTAACCAGGACTTGGTCATGCTGGATGGGAGCCCGCCCATGACTTCATCTTTACCTGACTGCATCTGTGTGAACCCGTTTGCAATATGCCACATTCACAGGTTCTGGTGATTAGGGTTCCACTGCGTCTTTTTCTGGGAGATGCAAAACCCCAAAACACCTGAGGGTGATATTCAACCTCTAATACTCTCCAGGGCTCCACCCAAGCCCACCACAGGGCCTTGGCACCTGCAATTCCTCCATCTAGAACGTGCTGGCCCTTGGGAGGCCAAGGTGGGTGAATCACCTGAGGTCGGGAGTTCAAGACCAGCCTGACCAACATGGAGAAACCTTGCCTCTACTAAAAATACAAAATTAGCCAGGTGTGGTGGTGCGTGCCTGTATTAGTCCCAGCTACTCTGGAGGCTGAGGCAGGAGAATCTCTTGAACCCAGGAGGCGGAGGTTGTGGTGAGCCGAGATCACACCATTGCACTCCAGCCTGGGCAACAAAAGCGAGACTCACTTTCAAAAAAAGAAAAAGTAAAAGAACACGCTGGCCCCTTCAGCCTCTGTTGAGCGCCGCTGTCACCCTGTGGCTGGGACCTGGCAAATGTCCTCCTGGTCAGTACATGTAACATATTCCTTCTGCAATGAGTATATCAAGTTTACTCCTCCAGCCCCAACCCCCACTCAGAGCTAAAGGAGCATCGTGAAAATATGTTTTTGAGCACTCAGCAAGCATTAATGACAAAATACAATTTTCCCAGGATTAGCGGGGTACTTGGATGCGGAGGCTTTTGAGCTCCTGGTACAGACATCCCTAATGCACAGCTGATCCTTCTTAAACCCCAGGGCAGCCGAATCCATTCCCTTCTCCTTCTTTAACTTTTCTCATTTGCTTTTCTAATTAAAAAAGTAATTCAGGTTCATTGTAGAAATGTCTGAAAATGCAGATAAGCAAAACAAATAAAAACCATCTGTAATCCCATCACCCAGGGATGACTGTGCAGAGGGTTTCTTTCAGACCTGTTCTCTACGTGGACAGTGAGTCACGGGCAGTGTGGGTCTGTCCGTGACAGCATCATGGTCCGTTTTTAATGTGTCTATTTATTTGCGTATTGTTTGCCAACCATTTATTGTTTTCCACAGTTTACAAATGTTGCGCATTCAGCCTCGGATTGTTTTCTGTTTGAGACCTTTGCACCCCAGAAGCAGGGGAGGTGAAAAGTAAAAATCCTCCTCTATCCTTTCCTGCAGACCTCCCCCTTCAGACCCTCTGGGGTAACTAACTACAGTTCGTGGTTGGATGTGTATTTTTCTAGATAGTTTTCGTGCATAACTGTATTTTCCTAAATGACGGTGGATCTTGCTGTCCACTGTTTTGTAATGTGTTTTATGTCACTAGCTACACTGTGGACATCTTTTGGTGTAAGAGAAAGTGTGTGTGTTTCTGTCTGATTCTTTTTCCCTTGCTCAGTCTATCCATCTATTTTTTGTCACTTTTTTTTTTTTTTTTTTTGAGACAGAGTCTCATTCTGTCACCCAGGCTGGAATGCAGTGGCACCATCTCAGCTCACTGCAACCTCCGCCTCCCTGGTTCGAACGATTCTCCTGCCTCAGCCTCCTGAGTAGCTGGGACTATAGGCACTTGCCACCACACCCGGCAAATTGTGGTATTTTTAGTAGAGACGGGGTTTCACTGTGTTGGCCACTCTGGTCTCAAACTCCTGACCTTGTGATCCACCAGCCTTGGCCTTCCAAAGTGCTGGGATTACAGGCGTGAGCCACCGCGCCTGTATTTTGTCACTTTTAATGCGAAGTGTATCTCGTCAGCTGGAAGTCTGCACTGCACTTCATTAAAGCAGCGCCTCACAGCTGGATGTTTTCTGCTCCTGTAAACAGCAGTGCAGAGAGCATCTTCGTGCACGGCTGTCTGTGCCCCGGTCTGCTTCCCCAGGATAAACGCCTAGAAGTGGAGTCGTTAGAGCGAAGCCCGCACCACACTCTCTGAAGGCCCGGGAAGGTTTGCTGTGTGGGGACCCCTGGTACCGTCACGGGGTGGTGACGGGCTGTGCTCTTCCACATCCATCCCAGCTGTCCCCACATCCCTTCTCAGAGGGGCCTGCACATTGCTATGAGCAGCTGAGCCTCTTAGATTGAGACTCTGAAATTAAATTTGCATTTATTTCTATTTACTCAATATTGACATTTCTTTTTCCTATTATCACACTATCTAGAGTCTTAAATGTATGTTTAATCACTGGCCCACCAGAAGAGGTCACTGGCCACAGAAAGCCAGGGATTTGTTTGTTGTTGTTGTTGCAAAGGAATTTGGGTGTTTGTATAAATATGATATATCATTTACAAAGACTATAAATCATTAATGTCTTGATGCCCTGGGAGTCGGAGAGGACCTGGTTTAATTTCTTCCATTTCTCTGTGTGTGTGTGTGTGTGTGTGTGTGTGTGTGTGTGTGTGTGTGGTTTATATAGTCTGTGTGGGGTGTGTGTGTGTGCTTTATGTAGTCTGTGTGATGTGTGGTGTGTGTGTGTGTAGTTTATGTAGCCTGTGTGGTGTGTGTGTGGTTTATGTAGCCTGTGTGGTATGTGTGTGGTTTATGTAGCCTGTGTGGTGTGTGTGTGGTTTGTGTAGCCTGTGTGGTGTGTGTGTGGTTTGTGTAGCCTGCGTGGTGTATGTGTGGTTTGTCTAGTCTGTCTGGTGTGTGTGTGGTTTGTCTAGTCTGGTGTGTGTGTGGTTTGTCTAGTCTCTGTGGTATGTGTGTGGTTTGTGTACCCTGTGTGGTGTGTGTGTGTGGTTTGTGTAGCCTGTGTGGTGTGTGTGTGGTTTGTGTAGCCTGTGTGGTATGTGTGTGGTTTGTGTAGTCTGTGTGGTGTGTGTGTGGTTTGTGTAGTCTGTGTGGT